TAACTACGAGCGACCGGTGCCAGAGTTGGCTCGGCACCGCCTTCATCCACTGGAGGTCCTTGGTGGAGGAGCTTATGGCGTCGTTCAGCTGTGTAGAGTGGATGACGTCGACCGTAAAGGTTCACGGATGACGCTCATGAAACAACTCCATCCTGGAACGAAAGAAGTTTTGAAGAAAGAGTTTCATCAAGAAGCGAGATCTCTCAGTCATATTGAGGACCCTAACGTGGCTCGTCTGGTGGGGATGGTGACCAGGACGGAGCCGCTGTGTATGCTGGTGGAGTACCTTCCTCAGGGTGACCTCTGTCAGTTCCTCAGAAGACACCTGCCTGAGAATTCAATACTCGAGGGAGTGGAGTTGGATCGGCCTCTTATAAGTTACGGCGGCCTCATTTATATAGCAACTCAAGTGGCTTCCGGAATGAGACACTTAGAGACCATCAAACTTGTTCACCGAGACTTGGCAACCCGCAACTGCCTTGTGGGTAGCGGCCTCAGTATAAAGATCTCTGACTTTGCCATGAGTCGACCTCTGTATTCCAGCGACTACTACCGGCTGAGTGAAGGTCGGGCTCTCCTGCCCATCAGGTGGATGGCGTGGGAGTCTATCCTTCAGGGTCGGTTTTCCACCAAGAGTGACGCGTGGGCGTTCGGCGTGACGCTGTGGGAGATCCTGACGATGGCCCGCCAGCAGCCCTACGACGAACTGAGTGACGACGGCGTGCTGGAGAACGTGTCTCACTGTTACCATGGTGATGGCTCCGGTATGATGGTGTTGCCTCATCCGCCGCTCTGTCCTCGCGAGATGTACGACATGATGACTGCCTGCTGGAGACCCAACGACCGCCAGCGACCTCCCTTCTGGGAGATCCACTTGTTCCTGCAGCGTAAAAATTTGGGTTATGCGCTTGACTATAAAGAGTGAGCTGTACTACGAGGTGTCCAGGTTATGAACATAAAATCCTGAGTTACTTCCTCAACTGCCAGGGTTCTGTAGTGCTCTGCGGGATATTGTAGGGAAACACCCTCGGCTGCCTTGGGTGTGGCGCCCTGCACACACACTTCTGGGAGGTCCTGCAGCGTGAAAACCACAATTACTGCTTCGTCAGCCTAACTGGATCTCGTCTACTGAGAAGTAATGTTAAGGTCCTCGTGTTTGTCCAGCTGAGAGACTTGACCTCCCTCCACTGTTCCCTGGAACATGTACTACAGAGAGCACTTGTACAGTGACCTGGAACATGTACTACAGAGAGTACTTGTACAGTGACCTGGAACATGTACTACAGATAGCCCTTGTACAGTGACCTGGAACATGTACTACAGATAGCCCTTGTACAGTGACCTGGAACATGTACTACAGAGAGCACTTGTACAGTGACCTGGAACATGTACTACAGAGAGCACTTGTACAGTGACCTGGAACATGTACAATGACCTAAGCCAGCCAAGACTTACAGTTATATGAATACCAGAATCAGCGTTATGTATTATAATCTTTATAGAAAATTACTGTTGTGGTTTGTGTATCAGAGGCGTCCATAGTGTTTACTGGTGACATAAACTGTACCGTATAAAGTCATTACTACAGTCACTATTAACTCACAATTGCAACACTAAGACTAACTTTGGTCCACATGTAACTGAAACAGCGGAATGACCATAGTGAACCTTGTAGTACCAAAATGTGATCAAACTCCTATAGAAAGTAATTGACAAGAGTTGACGAAACACATTATTATTAACACTAGACATTGTTTTCAGTGTAATTCCAAATATCTATCTTTAACACACTAATCGTCTTCTACCCATGAACTTGTGGGGCTGTGAACTGACTGTGATATATCAACAAAGTGAACCTAAGACTAGTAGTGGCCACCGAGGGAGAGACATCACCGGCCACCGAGGGAGAGACATCACCGGCCACCGAGGGAGAGACATCACCGGCCACCGAGGGAGAGACATCACCTAACGCTATATCCCTCACAGGCTTCTCGCCTTACCCGTTGGTGACCAGAGGCCCACTCACCTCATCCACTGCTCCTAAATGACTCTTGTAAACATTAAACGATCTTAACTTACGTGTTTTTGATGTAATAATTAAGGAGTTAAGTTATTATATTTATCGTAGGCTGTACATAATTATCCTTCTAGTCATTTTTCTCTGCATTTCTTCACATTTCTCTGCAACTGACAGTGTTTGCTGGTGTGGATATTGAAATTGGTAGAATGTTTTAATTATTATGTTATGATGTAAATACGCTTTAGATTCTTCTCCCGAATAAATGACATTAGTTCAGAGTTAAGACATGAAGCTGTATAGAGGGTTGAACACGCTTAATGAGTTATACAAAAGCGAAGCTAGAATCCACACTATATAAAGGTTATGATTCTGTGAAATAAATGACGTGGGTTTTGAGATAATCACCTACTGTGTTAGTGTTGAAGCTCTTACCAAGTCAGCTTTATAGGTTCTTACTCCACATCTTCTCACTTAATGGATTCACACAGGTGTTGGAGTCTATGGCGACTTCTTCAACAGTGATCATTATGTACTTTAATGCCAATATAATATTCACGAACCATTTGTGATTAGTATTAACCAGGTTAAGGCAACAGTTAGATACACCGTGTTTGGACATAAGATACAGTTAGTGTTGTATTATTTTTATGCTTTTGTACCGAAGAGAACGATGAACATAATAAAGTTGTATAATATGTTTGTTTGTTTGTTTAATTTACATAGTTAAATTGTTTTGTTTTTTATTTCATGTGTATATTTGTTTTATGTGTTTGTTTGTGTGTCTGTCTTTCTTGGCATATATATATATATATATATATATATATATATATATATATATATATATATATATATATATATATATATATATATATATATATATATATATATATATATATATATATACCCACAAGGAAGTCTCAATTTTACAAATTGATTCCATTCCACCCTTAGTTATCCTGAGCCGGCCAACAACCACATAAAATAGTTCAACCTGCCCTCAGGCGTTGAGAACCCCTGGTGGCAGGTTTATGAACTACAGCCTATCACTGCCCTTACTTTACGGGCTCATGTCAGTAGTTCTCCTGGTCTTACACAAAGGACTCCTACGTCGTAGGTTCAGTCGATCTTGACAGGTGAGTCTGATTATTCCTTGGGTCACCATAATCTTGTTACCATTGTGTGTTTCTTTGTGAACATTCTGATGTAGGGATTTATATTTTGTTAAAGTTGTGTTCATGTTCTTATATTTGTTTTCTCCCAAGTGATTTTGTTAATATAATTTTATATAAAACTCGTCCTTAAATTTCTCGCCCCCCTTAGTTAATAAAAGGGTATTCCTTTAGTAATGCACAACCATCTCATTCGGGAATTTGGGCAATAGTAATCTATAGATCTAATAATACTATGGCCCTTTGCCTCTATGACACTTACCTCGTAAATGTCAAGTAACGGATATATTGGATATGTTTTATTCTCTTATTATTATCATATACGGGAGCACCTGTAACCACCACTTTCGCAAGATTTGTTTACAACTAACCCACTCAATCCAAGTGCACTGTCACGTCCACAAAAAACGTAAAATTACACCATGACGCTTCAACAAAGTTGCTTTCATTGGTACCAATTATCAAAATAAGTACTTGAGGGCACTGCCGGCCCTGGGAGAGCCTCTGGGTGCGCAGAAACCCTTGGGAAGGCCTTTGGGGGCGCCGCGTCCCCTGGGACAGCAAATAGAAAGGCCCCTGATTGCTCCATCGTCCATGGGAGGGCCCCTAGGGGCGTTGACGCCCATGGGAGGTTCCCTGGGGCACTACCACCTCTAAAGAGGGTTCCTTGGGGCGCTGTCGCCCCTGGGAAGGCCACTAGGGGCACCGCGCCCCTGAAATGGCCCAAGGGGATGCCACCGTCCTAGGGACTGCCTGAGAGGGAACCACCGCCCCTTGGCAGGGCTCCTAGGAGAGTCCCTGGAGGCTCTGATGTCCCTGGGAGGGCCCCTGGCGGCGCCACCGTGACTGAGAGGGTCTTTGGGAGCGTCGTCGCCCCTGAGAGAGCCCCCGGGAGAGCAGTCGCCTCTGTGAGGGCCCCTGGAGCCCTACAACTCTTGGAAGGGACTTTTGGAGGTGCCACCGCCCTAGGGAAGGGCCCTAAGGGTATTGCAACCCCTGGTAGTTCCTTGGGGGCACTGCCAACCCTAAGGAATGCCCCTCTGGGCGCTGTCGGCCCTGGGAGGGCCCTACAGATCGCCGCCACAACTAAGAGGGCCCCTAGTGGCACCACAGCCCTTATAAGGGCCCCTGGAAGCGCCACTGCCCCTGTGAGGTCTTCTCGGGAGAGCTCTGAATTTGGGAGGGTCCTGTGGGCGCCACCGACCCTTGAAGGGACCCTAGGGAAGCCATGGCCCCTCTGAGGTCCCTTAGTTGCGCCGCCTCCCCTGGGGTTGCCAATGGCCGTGGAAGGGACTTAAGGAGAACCACCGACCATTGGAGGGCCCCTCGGAAGGCCCCTAGGTGCATGGCCGCCCCTGGCAGGTCGCCTGCGATCGCCACTGTATGGGGGTGCTGCCCTCCCTGGAAGGGTCCCTGGGGGCACCGCATCCTTGGAAAGGCCACCCCGGGCGCAATACCCTTGGAAGGAACCTTCGGGGCTCCATTGATGCTGAGAGGGCCCCGGGAGGTGCCACCGTCCCTGGAAGGTCACCTGGCGGCGCCGCCGCCTCTCGGATGGCCCCGGGGGGGCGCTTCCGCCCCTGGGAGGGCCCTTGGGGTGGCAAACGCTTCATGGAGGACCTCCAGTGCCCCTGGGAGCATCGCTGTCCCAGGCAGGGCCTCCTCCCCTGAGAGAACGCCTGGAGGCACCGCAGCCCCTGGAAGGGACACAGGGCGCCCCACCGCTCATGAAAGGGCCTTTGAGGGCACCGCAGACCCTGGGAGACCCCAAAGAGTGCCGCCGCCCCTAACAGGGCCCAAGGGGTCACCATCACTTTTCGGAGGGCCCTTGGGGCTGCTCCCCCTGGAAGGACCCCTTAGGGCGCTGCGGCCCTTTGCAGGGCCCTCGGAGTCACTGCCACCTCTAAGGAGACCTGTGGGGGAGCTGCCGCTCCTGGGAAGCCCCCTGGAGGTGACACCGCCCCAGGGAGGGCTTTTGAGTGTTCTGCCCTCCTGGGAGGGTCCTTATGGGCGCCACAGCCACTGGGAAGTCTCCTGGTGACGCTGCCACCCATTAGGAGGACCCTTAGGAGCACTGCCGCCCCTGTGAGGGCCTGTGGGTGCGCAGAAACCCTTGAGAAGGCCTTTGGGAGCGCCGCGTCCCCTTGAAGGGCCCCTAAGGGCGTCGCGGCAAATAAAAAGGCCCCTGATTGCTCCACCGTCCATGGGAGGGCCCCGAGGGGCGTTGACGTCCATTTAAGGTTCCCTGGGGCATTACCACCATTAAGAAGGGTTCCTGGGGGCACTATCGCCCTGGGAAGGTCCCTAGGGGCACTGCGCCCCTGGAAGAGCCCCAGGCGGTACCACCGCCACAGGGACGGCCACGGAGGGAACCATCGCCCCTTGGAAGGGCACTTGGGAGAGCCCGTGGGGGCACTGCTGACCGTAGGAGGCCCCTGGCGGCGCCACTGCGCCTGAGAGGGCTCTTGGGGCCTGCAACGCCCGTGAGAGGGCCTTTGGGAGCGCCGTCGCCCCCGAGAGGGCCCCTGATAGAGCGGTCGACTCTGGCAGGGCCCCTGGAGTCTCTACACCACTTGGGATCGCCTTTTGGAGGTGCCACCGCCCCTGGGAAGGGCCCTAAGGGTGTTGCAGCCCTTGGAAATTCCCTGGGGGGACTACCAACCCTAAGGAATGCCCCTCGGGTTGATATCGGCCCTGAGGGGCCCTATGGATCGCCGCTACAACTAGGAGGGCCCCTAAGTGCGCCATAGACCTTGTAAGGGCCCCTGGAAGTGCCACTGCCCCTGTGAGGTCCCCTTGGGAATCTCTGCATTTGGGATTTTCCCTGGGGGCGCCATCGCCCCTTGGAAAGCCCCTAGGAGCATGGCCGCCCTTGGCAGAGCGCTTGGGATCGCCACTGCATGGGGGTACTACCGTCCCTGTGAGGTGTGAGTAGATCTAGGGCGCTGCGGCCCTTGACAGGTCCCCTGGGAGCGCTGCCACCAACTAGGAAGGGCCCCTGGCAGCTCTGCAGCCGCTGGTAGCGTCCTTGCTTCCGCCGCTGCGCTTGGGAGGGTCTCCGGGGGCGCTGGCCCCTTTGGAAGGACACCTATGGGTGTTACCGCCCCTTGAAAGTCCCATCCGGGCTCAATCACCTTGGAAGGAACCTTCGGGGCTCCATTGCAGCTGGGAGGGCCCAGGGAGGCGCCGCCACCCCTAGGAGATCACCTGGCGGCGCCGCCGCCCCTCGGATGGCCCCTGGGGGAGCTTCCGCCCCTAGAAGGGCTCTTGGGGTGGCCAACGCTTCTTGGAGGTCCTCCGCTGCCCATGGGAGCGCCGCTGTGCCTGGCAGTGCCCCTGGGGTCGCCACGACCCCTACAGAAGGCCTCTGGGGGCGCCGCCGACCTTGATAGGGCACCTGGGTGTGCTGTTGCTCCTAGGAGGGGTACTGGGGGAGCCACTGCCCCTGGGAGGGCCCTTTAGGGCGACGCCACCTCTGGTAGGGCCCCTAGGAGAGCCTCAATCTCTGGGAAGTCCTCTGGGAGAGCACATGGGGGGAACCCTCGCCTCAGGGAAGGCGCCTGGGGGCACAAACGACCCTGATAGATCCTTTGAGGGTCGCCTCGATCCATAAGGGGCACCCTGGTCCTCTACCGTCACCTGGGAGGGCTCCTTGGGATGCCACCGCCCCTGGCATGGCCCCTTGGGTCGCACATTCCCTTGGCATGGCCCCTGGGATCGTACATGCCCCTGGGAGGGCCTTTGAGGGCGCCACCGACCCTGGGCGTGCTGCTAGGACCGTCGCCGCCCCTGGAAGAGTCCTCGGTGTCGAAACAGCTCCTCCGAAAGCCCCTGGGGTTTACTGCTGCCTCTAAGGAGAGCTCCTAGGGAAGCTGTCGCCCTTGGGTGATCCCTGGGGACACCAACCCACTGGGGGCGTCGCTGCCCCAAAGGAGAACCCTGGGGGCACCACCGCCCCTGGGAGGGCCCATGGGGATGCCAAAGCCTCTGAGAGGGTCCCTGGGGGTTCCAAAGCCTCTGAGAGGGTCCTAGTGGCGCCGCTGATCCTAGGGAAAGATCCTGGGGCCCAATTGCCCCTGGCTTGGCCCCAGGAATGCAACCGCACTAAAAGAGATCCCCTAGGGGCACCGTTGCCCCTGGGGGCTCCATCGCTCATTGGAGGGCCCTGGTGACAATGCCGCATCTGCGAGTGCCACTGTGTTCGCCGTGGGTCGCCGCCATCCATAAGGAAGGCCACTGGGGACGCAACCAACCCTGGGAGGGCCCCTGGGGACGCAACCGCATTGCCACGGCCCCTGGAGTCGCACATGCTTCTGGAAGGGCCTCTGAGGGCTCCACCGCCCTTGGGAGGGCCGGTACGACCCTCGACGCCCCTGGGAGGGCCCTCGGGGTCGCAATTGCTCCTCCGAAGGCCCCTGGGGTGTACCGCTGTCCTTAAGGAGAGCCCCTGGGAGAGCTGCCACCACTGGGATGGCCCATGGGACCGCCGCCACCCCTGGGAAGGCTCATGGGGGAACCACCGCCCCCGGAAAAACCTCTGAGAGCCTCTCGAGGCGCCACCGCCCCTGGGAGCGCCACATCCTCTCTCAGGGCTCCTGCCGGGCCATTCCCTATGGGAGGACCCCTGTAAGCTTCACCTCCCCTAAGAAACCTTTGTGGTCGCCGCCGCCCTTTAGAGGGCCTCCGGGGGCGCCGCTCTACTTGAGACCCCCACAGTGGGCGCAGCTGCCCCTTTGAGGTCCCGTGTGAGCGCCACAGCTCCTGTAAGGGGCTCTGGCGGCGCCACTTCCCCTGGGAGAGGCCGGGGGCGCCGCCGCCCCTAGGAAAGTCCATGGGGATGCCGCCGCTCTTGACAAAGCCACTGGTGGCGCCACCGCCACTAGGAGGGCCCCGGTTTGCCCTGCTGCCCTTTTTAGTGCCTCTGGGACCTCCGCTGGCCCTGGAAGGGCCCCTGGGGGGGCATCACTACCCCTGGGAGGCTCCCGGTGGGCACCGTCGCCCCTTTTAGGGCCCTTGGGGATGCCTTCGCCTCTGGGATGGCCCCTAAAACGCCGCGGCCTTTGGCACGGCCCCTTTGGGAACCGCTGGCCCTGAAAGGGCCGTGTGAGCACTACTGCCCCTGGGAGGTCCCCGGTGGGCACCGTCGCCTCTGGGAGGGCTCCTGCTGGACCCACCGCCCCTGGTAAGGCCCTTTGGACGCCTCAGCCCCTGGGGGGACCTCTGAGGGCTCCGCTGGCCATGGAAAGACCCCTGAGTGTGCCTCTACCCCTTGGATGTCCCTCATGGGCACCGCCAACCCTGGGAAAGCCACTGGGGTCGTCGTCACCCTTGGGAGAACCGCTGGCGGCACCGCCTTCCCCATGAGAGCCCTTGGTGTCGCCGCCGCCCTCAGGAATGCCCCTAGGGGATCCTGCGCCTCGGAGGGCCCCTAGAAGAGCCTCCACTTCGGAGAGCCCCTAGGGGAGCCTCCACCTCGGAGGGCCCCTGGGGGCACCGCCGGTCCCTGGGACGGACCCTGAGTTTGCCACCACCCTTGGGACGGCCTCTGGTAGCGCCGCTGTCCCCAAGGAGGGCCCCTTGTGGCACCGTCGCCACTGCACCTTTAAGAGCCTCAGGGGACACAACCGTTTCTAGGAGGGCCCCTGGGGGCCCCACCCTCTCTGGTAGAGCCCTAGGGGTCTCCGCCATCCCTAACGAGGATCCCTAGGGGCGTGGCTGCCCATGGAAGGGGCCATAGGAAGACCTCCGCCGCCCATGGGTCCTACCCTGGGGTCACCCCTGTGGGTGCCACTGACCCTGGCAGAACCCCTGGGAAGGCCGCTAAACCTAACGAGGGCGCTTGGTTGTGCCTTTCCTCTTGGGAGGTCTCCTGGAGACACCTTTGCCCATGGGTCCTACCCTGGGGTCACCCCTGTGGGCACCGTTGACCCTGGGAGGACCCCTGGGGGCGCCAACCGCTCTTGGAAGGACCGCAGGGGGCACCACCATCCTTGGCAGGGCACTTGAAATCGTCCCCTCTCCTAAAAATGGCCCCTAGGGGTGCGGCGGCCCTTGGGAGGGCCCCTGGGGTCACACTTGTCCAGACAAGGTCCCATGGGGCGCCACAGTCCCCTTAACTGCCCCCGAGGGCACCTCTGCCCCTGTGAGGTCCCCTAGGAGCGCCTCTGTAGCTAGGATGGCCTCTGGGGGCGCCGCCGCCTTTGAGAGGGCCCCCGGGGCACTGCCGCCCCTGTGAGGTCCCCTTGGAGCTACTTTGTAGCTGGGATGGTCCCTGGGTACGCCGCCTGTTCTTGGAGAGCTTCTACGGTTGGACCGCATCCTGGAGGACCACCGTTTACCTTGTGAGGGCTTCTGGTGGCTCCGTCTCCCTGGGAGGGCCTCTGGAGGCAACATAGCCCTGCGAACGCCACTAACCTTGGGAGTGTCTTTGGGGTGGCAATATCCAATGGGAGGGCCCTTTGGGGCGCTGCCACCCTAATGGAGGACCCCTTGATGCGATGTCGCCCCTGGAAGGGCCCTTGGCGGCGCCACCGCACCTAGGATGGCCCCTGGGAGCACCGACGCCCCTGTGAGGGCCCCTAGTGGTGCCTTCTCATCTGGGAGGGCTCCTGTGGGCGCCACCGCCCCGAGCAGGGCCCGGAAGGACCCCAACACCTCTGGAAGGGCCCCTTGGGTCTCCACCACCATTGGGAGGTTAGGCTAGGTTAAGTCCCCGGAGGGCGCGGCTGCCCCTGGCTGATCACCTGGCGAGGCCGCCGCCTCTCAAATGGCCCCTGGGGAAGCCTCCACCCTTGGTGGGCCCAAGGGAGGC